GTAGATGGGTAAAGGACATAGAAGAAAGCTCTCAGGCCCTAAAATTATTGAATTCGAAATGGAGTCCTGAAAGCTGCAGGGTCCCCAGGCAGAAAATGGGCTGCTGTTCTTCCAAATTGCACTGAGCCTTGCAGGAGCACTGCAGCAGGCCTGAGTCAGAAATGTTGGCTAGGGAAAACAGTGATGTGTTGAAATGGCAGGTAATTGAAATCTCTGGTTCATTTCTGCAGACAGAATGTAGGTACATTGTGAGCAGCGAATACAGTAGATTAGATTGAGTGAAGTGCAGGTAAATTGCTGCTTCACTTGGAAGTTGTATGTGAGGCCTTGGATAATGAGGAGGGAGAAAGTACCTCCATAAAATTATTAAGAATGTCCTGCTACATGGACAAGGGTAGATCCACCGGAGGTAATGACGCAGTATTATACAATTGGGAAAGTATTGCCCTAGGAATCACCAACATTGATCTAGGCCTCATGAAATCTCATGACATTAAGTCAAACCTTGGCAAGGAAATCTCCTACTGATTACCAGATACCATTGTCACTCAGCTAATAAATTACTGCTCCATGTTAAAAACTTGGGTAGCAGGGCTCAAAACGTAGTCTGTGTATGAAATTTCAATGCAATCGTCGAGTAGGCCATTAACAGTAATACTGATCCAGTTGGCTAAGTCCGGAGCGACATTTCTGTCAGACTGAGCGTGCATAAGGCGTTGAAGGAACCAACAAGACAGAAAAACCTACTCGTGCTAACTCATGTCCTCCTTAATTTACAAGTTATAGACTATCTGTCCACGATAGTACTGAACGTAGTTTGTGGAGGTGAAGTCCTGCTTTAACATTTTAGATATCCTTTACTATGTTGTAGGTACTCATGCAATTCTAAATGAGATATGTTCAGAACAGATCTAATGACTCAAAACTAGACATGTATCCTCAAAGCACAAATCAGGAGTGTGTTAGAATAGTCTCCACTTTCCTGGAAGAAACGCTTAAGAAACTTAATTTCTTTCATGACAAATCAGCCTACATAATTGGCAGAGACAACAAGGTGCAGAGCTGGATGAACACAGCAGGCCAAGCAGCATCATAGGAGCAGAAAGGCTGACGTTTCGGGCCTAGACCCTTCATCAGAAATGGGGGAGGGGAAGGGGGTTCTGAAATAAATAGGGAGAGAGGGGGAGGCGGATAGAAGATGGATAGAGGAGAGGATAGGTGGAGAGGAAACAGACAGGTACCTCATCCATATCCTTAACTGTCTATTTCTTATACCCCACCACCACCATCCACACACACACACACAGAAAGACACAGACAAACACAATATGCATATTCCATATGCTAGATGCATTGCAGCAACTGGCTAAACCTCCTTTGACTGTACCTTCCAAGGTTCTAACTTATGCCACCTAAACTGATAAAGGCAGTAGATGCATGGGAAGTCTATCATCTGCTGGTTCCCTTCCAAACAATGTACGTTCTGACTTGGAAATGTTGATAGTCCCTTCATTATCATCAGCTCAAAAATTTTGAACTGCTTTCCTAATAGTATTGTGGCTGCATCTACACCAAATAGAATGCAACAGTGGAAGAAGGTAGCATACCATCACCGTCTCAAGGACAACTGGGGAGCGCAACAGCTGCTGACATTGTGAGCAATGCTCACATCTATGAAGGAATAAATAAAACGGCATGTTACTGGAGTCTTTTATGGACTCCAAACGGAGGTGTAAGGAAATCTTACTTGTGCAAGAAACAAAGAGTGATGATTTCAGGGAAATTTAATTAACCAAATATCGCTTGGAATAATGTTAGAGTAAAAGGTAAGAGGGAAGAATTTCTGAAACTTCTTCATGAGGATTTACATCACCCGTATATCCTTTGACCAACGAGGAAGGTTCATTGTTGGCTTTTGTACTACAAAATGAAATACTGAAGGTTTTAGTGGGTTTTAGGGTTTTTTTATGGTCATTTTTAATGTGTTTATTAATTCCTTTTGCACTAAGGTTAAATCATAAAGCAATATTGCTTACCTTGCTGAAACTAAGCATGCTGGTACAGCAAGAGGCAAGAAGGCAATGGTATGTTGACTTTCATCGTAAGAGGATTTGAGTACAGGTGCAGGGATGTCTTGCTGCGATTGTACAGGACCTTGGTGAGAACACACCTGGAGGATTGTGTGTAGTTTTGGTTCTACTTTTCTGAGGAAGAATGTTCTGGTTATCAAGGGAGCTCAACAAAGGTTTATGAGATTAATTCCTGGGATGGCAAAACTGATATATGGCAAGAGACTAGATTGGTCAGGACTGTATTCACAAGAGCTTAGAAGGTGAGAGAAGAATCTCAGAAACCTATAAAATTCCAGCAGGACTAGATAGGGTAAACACAGGAAGGAGGTTCCCAATAGCAGGATTCACAGGTTAAAGATATGGGATAGACCATTTAGGACTGAGATGAGGAAAAATTTCTTCACCCAGCGAATGGTGAGTGTCGAATTCTCTGTCATAGAAAATAGTCACGGCCAAAACATTGAAAGTTTTCAAGGAATTAGACATGGTTCTTATGGCTAAAGAGATCAAAGGGTATGGGAAGAAAGTGGGAACAAGGTATTAAGTTGGATGATCAGCCATGATCATATTGAATAGTGGAGCAGGCTTGAGAGATTGAATGGCCTAACCTTGTTTCTATTTCCTAAGTTTGCTCAAACCATATGAAAGTAAGAAAATATATGCTTGTTAGTACAGAATTTAAATGTTGCTAAAAGGAGACAAAATGTTGATGCATGTAAGATGAGAAGCTTCAACTTATCGTCTCCTTTTAGCACTGTTTATATTAAGAAAATGTACTTAGCAGGAATGGACTTACAATGAGGATTGTTTCAACTAATGAAGAAAGAGACATGGTATGGTAGGTGATGTTGTATATGACTAGTCAAGTCAATAATGTTGGAACATGGCTAAATGTGGAAATGTAATGACTGAAAAAGAAGATCCAAGAAGGAAATTGAAAGTACATCATTGGTACATCTTAAAGACACAAAAGAAGCAGGTACTAGCAAAGATATTGCCTGTGGCATGAAAAACAAAAAAACAAAAATTTCTGTGTATCACTGCCTATGTTAAGTATTGTGTGATTGAGTGTCACTGAAAAAATGACACATTTTGTTAAAGCACATTTTGTTTTTTGTCTGGAACATATCAGGACAATTTGCATTAAATAACAACAGGAAAACAATATTTTATATTAAATAAAAAGAAATTGCTGATTGTTTAGCCAGTGAATTCTGATTGGTAGAGGCATTATCTTGGAGAATGTACCAGTTACATGATGATTGACAGTTAACTGACATGCTTGTTTTAAATCAGACAAGTAGATTCTGATTGGTCAAGGCATAGTTGTGAGCGATGAACCAGAGAAAGGCTGCAACCTGGTTGCTGAATTGAAATATTCACAATGTGTGTATTGCTGCTTCATATTTCTGAAGAAGAGGATCCTGGTATTAATATAGTAAGCTTCCAGTATGCACACGTGCACCACACTATGAGCTTGACTGGCAAAACTAAATTAAATTTCAGCATTTTTTGCACATTCAGGATGATTTAGCAAATGATGTCCAAAGTTGGGCATGTTTTGTGTTTTGCAAGTAAAGTCTATGTATTGTCAGTATCTTGCCTCCTGCAAACAGCCAAATAGATATGCTGTTTGATACAATTGCCAATCTTTGGGACATGTAGTCTAGATAACCAGCATCACACTGGCATTGAAATTCATATGCCACATGACACATTTGAAAGATAGAGTATTTTGAAAGTTTGAGCAACAGGGGAAGCTAGCAGTTTCATGTCCTGCAGAAAAAGAAGTGTATAGATTGTGAAGAGATCTTTGCAAAGTACTTGCTAGGTGACAAACCAGACAGAAAATTTTGTATTTCTCTCTGACACAGGTGAGACAAGTTTCTGTTCTCTCACAGAATATCCCCACAGGGCAGGTTGCTCACTTTAATAGTTAATGTTTAACCACACTCAAGACAAGGTTTAATTTGTTTAAACCTGGCAAAGGGAGACCAGTGAAACCTATTATCCAAATTCCTTCTACAGACCGAAGTGAAATGAAGAAAGGGAAAACAAAATAAAATTTTGAATATTTGCCAGTGTTACAAAATCCAGCAACAGAGCAAAGTTGGCTAGGGCCTTTGATTAAGCCACTCTATGTAACTGTCCCAACCATTATGAGGATTTGGTAATTAGAACTGATGTTTAGATTAGAAATGTTGATTTGGCAAGGTCAAGCCAATGCAAATGGAAGGAGATACCCAGACAGAATGAGAAAGTCTTCAGATAGCTT